CGTTAATATTGTTAGGCTGTGAAGTTCATTATGACCCTCAATGCCATAGTTATCCTATGGATGGGAAGCGTTTGTTCAACTGCTTTATAAGTGTTCAATTGTATTTTGTTTGCGTTTTCAACTCACACCTCTTTGATAGTCACACTGAGGCGGGTGCAGAAGTGAACCCGTCATATTTGTGTGTTTGCCCTTTCCAAGAAGTTGATCTTATTGATGTTTCAGTGATCTTATCTGTGAATATGTTAATGAATAATCGTGAATGAATAAGCTCCTAATGTGTTCTGTCATGGGTGGTGGTGAGCCAAATGCTAAAATGATCGCGACGAAATGTAAGGCTCGACAGAAACTGTACAGTATTGGTTTATTTGCTACGAAAATCGATTGCGCTGGGAATGTGGACTAACAAGTAAGCATACGGTCTGAACCTGCGGGAACCTTATTGGTTAGTCCTTGCCGGAAAAATACCGTAAGGCCGATGTCAGACTTTGCGAATCGCGCGATTCGCTAGCGTCCGCGGTCGCGTTGCGGTACCAGCCAATTGAGTGATTCACTGGCCGCGACGCGACCGCAGACGCTAGCGAATCGCTCGATTCGCAAGTCTGATATCGACCTAAAGGGATGGGATCTCCCAATGAAAGTTTCTTATTGTTTGGGGCAAACCCCGCCCATATGCTCGCGATCAGTGCGCGGTGTGATTTTGTTATGCTGTCCATGAACCATTGTACAGACTGAATGTGAGTTCCAGTGGTACTGCGATTCGGAATGGAAGTCAAATGCGTGGCGTATCCCAGAAAGAGAGTGGTGAACATTAAACGCTTGATTTTTCTACCGTTCGAATCTTCATGATCTGATATTGAAGTGCTAGTCACATCGTCATTCTCGGTTCTGACCATCGACAGTCGTAGTTTACTCCGTATTCATTACACACATGCCCTCACTGAGGATCGGCGCAATCGGATTGTTATTGATTGCTTATCGATTTACAACTTCATTAAATCCATGCATGGTCGATCGAGACGCATGCGTTCCCATTGAGGATTTTGAGGTGATTCAGCTCCAGAAGTAGGAATCTCCATTAGAGATAAATTCAAGAATCAAGGTGAACTGCACATGCATTCTCATCTCTGGTGAACCGATTAACGCTACTGATGACGTCTTTATGTACTTCATGGGCCATCAGTTTCCCTTCTATCTATTCAAACAGGTAATACCAGTAGATATGTTTATTCTTTCCTATTTTTCCCTCATTTGCTGCCGCTTTTGTGATCCATCCATGACGTCTTGTTTTTTGGAATTCTGTGAATAGCTGCAATCTGATTTCTGAGATCCTACGTAGCATGGTGTTTTTTCTCCACGAAACAATTCTGATTTTTTGATTCACCGCAAGACGGATTTGGAAGTCCGCAGATGTGGTACTACCGTATTCACATTGGCTTGGCACCGAGACGAGCACGTTGTCGAGCGACGGAATTTAAATAACCGAATAAAAGGGTCAAATAAAAGCTTTAGAACAGACCCAAGAACGAAAATTAGCTATGCTACACTCAGTTTTCTAGCGGTGGCGATTTCGTACAATAATATTTTTGTAAAATGACGTCAACTACACATGATACGTGAAAACATAAGTAATCTGTCCATTCATTTCATGTGAAAATGCACAAAATATTTCGTGAGAAGCTGAATGTACGGATACCGTCAGCCGATGATTTTGAAACGTCGCTCGATATGCCAGAAACGATCTACAAGTGAGTTCGAAATTTGAAGGCAAAGTCCGGGATCAAGTGACAGTGGAGATATGAAGTTAAGCGCCAGTAGAAGGTCAGATCCCCGTTACTGTAGCAGGAAAGAAGTAGCATCGATAAGCGTGCGGGATCGATGGTGGTGGGCGGAGCCCATGGTGGCTCTTTAAGGACTTACCTTAATGGATCGGCTTTGTTAAAGACATGGGTCACAGCCGAGTTGGTGTGATGTTTTATTTGAAGATCAGACAAGAAGCAAATAGTAACTCTGGGGATGGGAGGTTGAATGCAAAAATCACTGTAGAGCGTACGAAAATTTTCCTCGTGAGCTCGACCGTGGAATGATGGAGAGACGCAAGGGTGCGAGGAGAGGGAAGGCTCGGTAGAGACCGCCGTAGTCCTGAGGCGCAGACGGCTAGCATGTGTCAATTGTTAAGAATAGCAGCGTTCGCTGCGAACAATCAAAGGCATCAGCTCCTCTGGCGCACTTGAGTGGCGACAGTACCGCCAGACCTGTGATTAGGGGTCTTACTTCGTCACAGAAGGAGAGAATTTTTCCGAGAATCTGATCGTGACCGGTGCCTTTAAGTCAACGCGCCGAATTGGTGCAGAAATACTACGCTCTTACTTATCACGCCACATCTCTCGCGCATGGACTTCATTCCGTCCAGGAATCCCGGACTTGGTCGTTGGCTGCAGCACGGCCAATGCTTACTCTATGTTTCGTATAACGTTTTTCAGCAGATCTAATTTTTTGCAGAAATCTTCGTTTCGAAGAAAATATGGCACTTTTCTTAGTAAACGCTTCAAAAAGCACTGCAATTATTCGGATGCTCATAAACGAAAGTGTGAGTCAGAGGAAGAAAAGGATGGTGTAAGTACTGGAGACGCACAATTTTTTATTGTAGTATATTCGCACTCGGGATATGCGGGAGAACTCTGAGAAGTGGTGCGTCGAAGGTGAATGCGCCGTATTTCTTCACTATGAGGAGCCATTCAATAAGTCCACAGTTGAGTTGGTGTTTTCAATTGTTTTTTATTTATTCTATTAGCGTTTTATTTTTTTACAATTTTCATTATTTTTTATTTGTAATTTTAAAGTTTTGTTCACAACCCAGCATTCTTGTGAAACATTCGCAAGGCGAACTGCGGCCAAAAACAGCAGTTAACAAACAAAAACAAGTCAAAATTCATTGCTAAAGCTTTCAGCCTCGCGGTCATTGCCGATATCGGCTAACCGGCTCAACACGTTATACGTGTGAGTGCTGAAAGCTATGGTACGTATACCATGAAAAGCTGAGTTGGAATGAAATGGTGCCCCGGTAGCGTAACTGGTAGCGCACTTGCCCGGAAAGCGAGAGGTGCGGGTTCTAGTCCCGCCTGGGGCGAAAGTTTTGTTCACAACCCAGCATTCTTGTGAAACATTCGCAAGGCGAACTGCGGCCAAAAACAGCAGTTAACAAACAAAAACAAGTAATTTTATATATTTTTGATTCTATGTAGCTCCTATGTTGCTTAGTATTCTCAAGCGAAACTGTCAGTCTCAAACACGGTGAGCAGCAGTCGAGGATCCTTGAAAGGGGAGTCGTAATATTAACATTTTAGATAAGGTATCATACTTCCTCATAATTTCCCTCCATGAGAAGAGAATGACCCATTACCTGAAAGAGTCAGATCGCCCCATAGAGCCGTGTAGCTATTCAGAAGCTTAAAGGCAGTCACTACGAGAATGATTGTTTGAACCAATGAATTGTACGCACTGGTGGAAGCAGTGAGCAGCTGAAAAGGGAACAAAGATGACTATTTCGCGCCGAAAAGTGCAGTACCGCCATCGAAAGGCATAAACGATGGCCGGCGGGTGGTGCGGTTTTGATGACGTTCTTAAATATCTTTGGTGGGAAGACTTCTCACGGCCCTGGTGGTGCGGCTGAAAACTCCTCCCTACGTCCTTCCAAAGACGTTCAATGACGTCATCAGAACCACATCGCCCTCAACCTGTTGTGGTCGCTGTTTGAAGCTCAAATCTCAACCTCATCCGTTTTCTCGAATATATGTATCGTTACCATTAACGGCTAATTTTCACTTTCACAGTGTATTTATCATCAAACCGTGTACCTTGTCAGTACATTCTGTAGATGCATTCACATCCAGAGGGCCAGGATATAACCTACAAACTCGCACAAAGTAAGGGGTAGGATGGAGGGTCTAGTTTCTGGGAATTCGGCTATTCTTCTGATTCTTCTTAGCAGTTTTGTCCCGCTTCCGTAACATTCCAACAACGTGTAATTATCACAATCGCTCTCTCCGATGTTATTAGAAAGCCATTTTAGGTGTATATGCACAAACAGTGGACCTTCTCCACATTGTAGAATTGGGTGGCCAATCTGTGGTTGCAGTGTCCTCGGTGTACGCTGAGTTTGACGTGCCAAAGGTAAGCTATTCTGCCAATTACTAGATCCGACATGAGCCATACGCACGGGTAAAAGGTGGTCATTGAGATGTCTCCGCTGAGATCAGGTAGGTGGGTGGGAAGAGTGGTTTGGGCACATAACTTCCTAAACAATTCGAGTGAGGAAGTCATCGGTGAATGTCCTCATACAATCATTATTCGATATCGATGCTATTTAAGCTTTCGTATACGCCCACATTCGAGGGGTGTGAGGGGGGGGGGAGAGGCGCCTCGAAGCCTTGCACTACAGAATTTCCGTGTGTGAGAAAAAAAATACAGCCACTGACAGTAATTTCAAGCTTCTTTTTCAGTCTTTGCTTCCACCGAGTAATGAAACTCGATTTTTAAAACAAAAAAAACCTTTCAGGTTCATCGAATCGTTTGTGAAAACAAGTGTGGGCGATTTTATTGGAACGAAGGCATATTATGTCGACAAAAATGCTCCCAAGAGTGAGTGATAGTTCTCGTGCTCACGTAAAAATCTGTTGATTCTGAGTTTATTTAATTATTCGAGACGTTGCTAAAGGAAGACGCGAAAAAACAACAGCACAGTCATTGATCAACTTCACATCAGCGAGGCAATAACTTCTTTTTCATCCTGCTTCTGAAGAATACAGAAGCTTATGGATGAGGCGGTGGATTTGCACTGAAGGCATGATTGCGATGGCTTGGGGGCGGTACGGTTTTTATGACGTCACCGCACTTCGTTGGTGGGTTAGGTCCTCAGAACCCTTGGGACCGCCTATTAACACCCTTCAACCGATAGCGCCCTCGACAAGAAGAATTTCAAATTTTAAAAGCAAGCCCGGGATAAAACTGGTGATAAGAGCGCTTCGTAGTGATGACTGAGCTGCGGAACGACCTGAAAGTGGAAAGGAAAGCAAGAGAAATCTTTGGAACGCTGAAATTAAGGCCTTAACCTTCAATAAGGTCGGATGTGGTACGATGGCGAGACAGGGCGATCAAAGAAGACAAAACACGCGAGAGATCACGTTCGAGAGAGCACGCTGATCTCTACATCAATCGAGGTGGGTGGGAAGCGTTGCAACGGGGGTCGATGGTTGCAGGCCCGTAAGGATTAGCGCCCTAACCGCGCAATTTTTGCGACGAAGCTGGAGTGATCTAGGTAGGTACGGACCTTACAATTTCCCTCGCGGTATCCTTCCCACAAGTCGGGCTAATCCCGGGGTTTGCCTTTAATGCTTGCTTTAAAATTATTCGAGAGGATTTCTGGGAGGATCGCCTAATCCAAGATAACAATGGATACGACCGATGGATCGTTGGATCGATTTTAGTTTACCAGCTGGAATTTCAAATGTCATACAAATGTAGTTCTTTGCAAAAATCCGAATTGCAAGCTATATTCTCGGTTCTTGGCTGCATGTAATCTGACTCTCGGTTCTCTGCTGTTGTGGCGAGATCCTGTGGCATTTTCGGCTAATTCCAGAGCCAAATTGTATATGATTATCGAAAATGACCTCACTGCATAACCTTTTCTGTGAAGGTCGCCACAAGTAGCATCGATGAGAAACCGATGACGGAACGTCGATGTCCCTTTCACATGTTCCGTCTCGCGCTGGATTTGATTTGTGCTTCACATGGCCCTGTATTTATTTCTCCATCCGCAAGTGTATTTATTTCAGCTTGCGATACGATCAGGTGGCCGTTACTGGGACAGTGAAACGTGATTTTGTGAATTTCGTTCGAGCATCGGCAGTGCAGAATTTTAGAGCAACAATATTCAAAATCCATTCATAACTCCTTTCTTTTTCAAAAAAAAAATCAGTGGATGGGTACACAGTGGAATATTTTGTCATTCTGTATACTTTTGGACAAATAAATCATTCCTTATATTTGTATCAATTCAAAGAGCAGCACTACTTTCACAACAAGATAAAGTATGAACCTGTTGCAATATAATTCGCTGCAGGATCTGCTGTTCGTTCTTCAAGACGATATGAAGTATCAGGCAGGGTCAACCGTGCGTTGGTCAAAGTCCGATGAGTGGAGTCGTATGTGGAAGTTAAGGCGTGGTGGTTGCGAAGGATGGGGGTAGCTTTCGACTGGTATTGGTAACTCTTCGATAAAACTTCAGAAATTATGCATAAAATGAATAAAATAGGTTATTTGTTGTTTCTCGCATATTTATTTATTTATTTTCTGGACGCAGTGATTCTGCGTGTATTCAACAGTACCACAAAAAGAAAAACCAAAAACCACAGGAAGCACGAGCTGTGACCGAGAAAATCATGAAGATCAAACTCCATATACCCGATTTACCACCATGTCTCACGAGGCCCCCCCCCCCCGCTGTACACTAATTTAGAGCTTGGAGCATGTTCCTGGGCTTGCGTACAGAAATCAAATTACTACGGAATCAGATACAATGGATACAGCTTGTTGCGCCGTGTGGGTGCTGTGTTTTGTGTAAAGATTGATCCTACCATTAGGTATATCACGTGGTGACTGGTATTATTCGAGCTAGGCACGGGTCGAGATTAGGCGATTGAAGGAGCACGTTCTGTCGGTATTATGACTGGATCTGCACTCATAGAGGGTGATGCCTCGCTCGTGACTTTAAACCGCGCTGCTATAACAACCCTGGTCTAGCATTTAGGACGACGTGAACTTGTGACCGCCCTCAGCCGGATGTGGTGCGTGGCTGGCATAAGGAGTATAATCGGCTGGGTTTACCGTTATCAGCTGCTTTCACGGAGCAGCAATGGTGGGCATGTTCGGACATGCATTCCTCCTAAGCCAGCCTCTTCCGCCGCTGTTGGGGAGAGAGGCTTCATTGTCGGTCTTGCCGACAGCCTTTACCTATTTTTTTCTTCACTGCCGGTTTCCATTCGCAGGCTCTGCACCTTCAGCTATCATTTATTCGGCTGACGTTTCGACGAATTCGTTTCACTGGCCAGAATGCGCATACGAAGCCATTAAAGGGAATCTTGCGCGGAAAATTCTTGCACTCTTTCCTAACATGAATATGTCAGTTGTGATCACTGGAAATAGCACACAAAGTTTCACGCATGAAGATTCGGTTTCTGAAGAGAAACAAACGTACAAAAACTACACGTTATGGACCATCGAAGGACCAGGAGGCAGAGCCAGGCGAGGCATGGAAAGAAGACGGCGTTTGGCCGGCTACGTACCAGGCGACGCAATGAGAGAATCGGGTTAAAGCGCGCGATTTCGGAGAGTGGAGACAAATCGATCGATGGAATAGGATGGAGTAGAAGTGTAAGATGTGAATGCAACGAAGCAGAAGGCCAGAAAGAGCTTCTAGTGAATGCACTCCAAGAACCAAGTTTGAGCATCCCCGTCGCCAGCATTCGTGAAAGACGTCCGTGGGCAATTCGAACGCGTAGCAGCCTTTTCGAGTTTTCGAATTTCTAATCAAAACGAAAGCAATACTTCAGTTCTTTTCACTATTATCGTGGATAATGAGTCTCAAGCCAGTGATTTATGGCTGAAATAGAATCATGATTTTTCCGCGCAAGATTCCTTTAAGCTACCGATCCGCCTATCATGTTATTGACAAAAACAAATGCCCAGGTTTCAAGAAAAGGCGGCATGTGGAATGTACTTTTAACTTTTTTTTGCTTTTTTTGGAATACTCTATTCAACTACAAAAATCTCGAACTCCTCTCGTTTGCGGCAGCAATCCCTTCGAGTTCTATTATTGCGCCCCCTTGAAACTATCGAACACGACTCCCTTCCACTCCACACATTAAAGGCATACAAATGCAACTCTCCTTTTTGGGAAATTTCCAAGCGACAAGCGACGCTATTAGTTTGACTTGAGAAGAAGGAGGATGGCTGAGAGCCTCATCTAAACATCTACTTGCCAAGAAGAACGTAAAGGTGTTTAGCGAAAATTGGCAATTATCCGAAAAATTCAGGGACGGTAGTAAAGTGCCCTAGACTAGCAATCAAATGTGGTGATTTTTCCCCATTGACGAGGAACAACGTGGAAACATGGACATGACCCTCTTGAAACCGCCAGCCTCGCCACACTACCTGCAAAACTTGCGCCACTCTCGGACTTGAACCCTGGATGATAGGACTCATAGCCGGGTTTTTGCCACTGCACCAGGGATCACTCGATCACACCACTGGAAGAGATGTTGATGACAGGTAAGCAACGGATGTTGTTTGCAAATCTTAGACTCAAGCGGTGTTGATCCAGCAACCTTGCCAGCGGCAGCGTGGAACGTTCCCATTGAGCCATTGGCAATTTGCCATAGTGGAAGTGGTGAGCATCCACCACGTTGCCTGCAAACTTGCGTCACACACGGGTTTGAACCTTTGGTGCACCGTCCCATGAGCGGCATCGCTACCACTGCACTAAGGAGCCCTTCTTATCGACAGTGAAAGGGTTGTAGCGAAAAGGGAATAGCCCGCTCCACCACTTGACGAATCAATGCAAGGCGCTTCCCTTTCCCTTTCCAACACCCTGCTTTGACCCATGAAGCCTGGCAGTTTGGATGTGACCATCTCTAAAAAGTCCTCCGGAGAACTCCACCCTTGCGCACTATTTCTTGTTTCTCTGCCGCCATCGTTGTTAGTTTTTGGATGACCACGCTGCTAATCCTCTTACTACCACGTGATGTCATCACCCCGACTTCCGAGTGAGTTCGAACTCACTTCGACCATTCTGACGGGGAATCTTCGGAGGGTTCCAGAGGTGCTCTACGCATATTTTAGGGTAACTTCGTTTGGAAGCCATCACCAAGTTACCACGAGCTCATGGTCACATGGTAACTAGCAGCTGAGGCCACTTTACTACCGTCCCAGATCACTTATGACTCAGCGCGTATGTAACGGCAATTTGAGATGAGAAATAAAAGGCAAATTCGACAGTTAAGGCTTGCGGGGGAAAGTCACACCTGTAAGGCACTTGTGGGACAGTAGATTCGGCATCTGTAACAGTGCTTTGCAAAATTTGCCGACCAACGTGCGCTGCAAGAATTTCCAGGCTATCACTAAATGCAAAAAGCACTCGCGTGAAGCAGGAAGCGACTAAAATAGCGACTAATAGCGAACTAATCTCCCACGCAACGCTAATTCCAGGCTGCTTCCATAAGGATATAAGCACAAATTGAGACGGCTGCACACCTTCGACCATCCCCTTTCCACTGTGTTCTACTGGTAATACTTTCCACCTGCTAAGGAAAGTCCTTGCCGTTTCCGATGGTTCAAGACATAGGGCATTATTTTTGACGTATTCTCAACACCTCTTACTATTGCACTTGTTAGGATAAAGCGCAATCCATTGTTCCATCACATGTTACTTTCAGCTCCTCTCAAGGTTTACTGCTCCTACTATTTCAAAGCCTTGAATAAAACATGTGCAACAAGCAAATCTGCACATTTTCTCCTTTATCTCGGGCATAAAGGAGCGAAATCAGCTCATCATATGAATTATTGACCTGGCCACATTACCTGTGAGAA